TTTGGACAAACTTTCAAATTCTCTCTCATATTATGCAGGAACAATGCTGTCCCTAACTTTGATTTTACTAATGCCACCTTAATTCTAAAAGAACACAATTTTTTATGGAGAAAATACTTTGAAAGCTTAATAATAACATGATTAACAACTATAAACACATACCTAAAACATTACATTGCCATGCTTCTTTCAATCCATTCTTAAATAATCTAACATATACCTATCTAATACAAACAGTATGTATGCAAAAACATCCCTAAATTAATTGAATACCACTCTACTATGCCAACTGACCATACAAAAGTGATATAACACTGATCACAGAATGATTGTTGGAACCCAAAAGATGTGGCATTCTGATCTCCAAGGTGACAACTGCTTGAAGTCTTTTTTGTGCAACAGTATCAATGGTACACCAGGAATATGTAGATTTCAAACAGACATGAGCAGAATGGAAAAACTGGACCGCCCACTAGGTAATACAAGAATGTGACTGCTGGTGACTAATAAAACTAGTAACCACTCATTAAAAGTGAAAACTTGCATCAGATCACATTCGAATTCAATGCTGGTGCTGCTTAACCCATCAGTCAGCGCATTATACTGTGTACACTGCATGCAATATAGTTTTTTAATTGTTGTCAAACAAGATGACCATTATTGGCACCATAACATTAATTATTTGCTACACTTCATCTGGGCCAGAGAATATCACCATTGGGCTATAGAATATTGATATTGTCACTGAAATCCGAAGGTGCATTGGGATAGTGAAACATGTCTTCCATACGTTAAACAAAGTATTAAGAAACAGGAAAATTTCATAAGAAACAAAAAAAGAGTACTGAACCATTATGGCAGTGAATTCTGAACAATCTCCCCAAAGATGAAAAGAAACTTGAAGAAACAGAAATGTTATTCTACAGAAGGATGCCGAGAATACCATGAAACAAACATGTGAGCAACAACAAAGTTTTAGAGAAAATGAAAACAAATTAGACACTTAATATCTGATAGAGATAGTTGTTATTTCTTGGGCACATAATAAAGAAAAAGGTTTTGGAAAAATTTACAGGACATATTGACGGCAAGAGGGACAGCGGAAATAATGCATAACCTACCTATCAAGTTTGAATAAATAGTTGGTAGAACAAGGTTTTTGAGAAATAACAAAAAGACAAAATTTATTAAGAGCTACAAAGAACAGGAAATTGTGGAGAGCCATGTCACCAACATCCTGAAGGGACACAGCACATAGAAGATGATCACCTGCTGGAGGAGATTTCACATGAATCAACAAATTGGCAGTGACTTTGTAATGGTGTAGTGTATATTCTAGTGGAATTTGCAAGGACCACCAGTGAAATTGGAGTCTATTTTGACAGGTATGACATATATAGATTGCATTGCAGATCATTTGAACCACTTTATATCTACTGTTTTTTTCTTGTAATGGCTTAACACAAATTCCTATCATATGCAGTTGACATGAAACTGATTCTTAGAACACTTGGATAAGTTTCAGGTATTCAAATGATCTTTGTATCTACCAGATTTTAACCTCATTGAGCAAGCATATAACATGTTATAGATCTCACTAATTTCCTTGCAAGAAAAAACAACTCATTTTTTTGTTGTTTTTTGTGTTTTTTTCTTTAACAATAATATTCACTCTGTACAAAGCCCCAGAACCACTTGAGGCAGAGGGTTACAGAATAAGAGGCTCAGTTTATGGAGACATGTGGGGAAGATAACAGTTAATCCTAAACTATCAGATTAAGATTGTAGTGATTGAGGAAGCATCCTCTTAGGAGTCAGTTCCACAAAATAGTGATTTGTGGGAAGAAGCTGCTCAAGTGGAACATACATCTCACCAATGCAATATGAAGGGAATGAAAGTGGTTCACTACAATGTGCATGGCATGGCAGGTCTTAGCCATGAAAGTTAGAACTGGTGGAACTAAGGAATGTTGTTTGTCTGAACCCTTTCCATGGAAATAGCAATAGAGCCATGGGAAGATTGCAAAGTTTCATATATGAGGAAAAAGGTTGTATGGTGGAAAATAATTAATCCTCCACAAGGCTGCAGTGATGCTTTTAGACTCTGTTATGGGCAGCCAAAGAATTTACCTAGATAGATATACCCACAAAATGAATCCAAAACCTTCAAGAGACCATGTTACATCATATGGTAATCATGAGATTAGCTGTTTCCATACAGGAAACATTGGGCCTTAATTGACCAAACAGTATTATTGCTTTTTGAATTTTATCAAATCTTTTTCTTAAAATAGTTTTTTAGGAAATTAAAATTCTCAGGTCCACTAAATGTTATAGCTCTTTCTAGTATAAATGAGACTTTCCTTCAAAATCTTTTGTTTAAGGTAGTGCGGAAAGTTAACATCTTGATTATGTCATTATTTTCTCTTCTGGTTCAATATGCGACCCATTTTTGATGTTGAAGTGATGTAGATTTTATTATTTGGTAAATCTATTTGTGATTTTCTAGTGCCAGTTAATAGCATCTGATGAAGGATTGTCTTCTTTAAAACCAAAAGGATTGATTCACTTGTTTAATCATTGATCTGAGAAAATGGTTGTATATAGGTAATAGTACTTGACCATTATTCAGGAAAAGAGAGGATTTACAGGATAACTCAGTTCTTTGAGGAGATTTGTATGAATTTAGTAAAAGACATATAAATCATGAAAGAAGAGCTTTATATGAGAAAAAATTAACATGAAAAATTTTGAAACTCTTCTTGATGTGATTTACTTAATGAATTCATTGTTAACATTGAAGACTGCTTCAATATTAGGTCTGAAACATGCGCAAATCAGATGGTCTTGAACTATTTTTATATTGTACTAGTTATGGCAAACTTCAGGGATTTTATAGTCTTAGGGGAGCATTGATTAACTTCCTTCTCGACTACCCCCTATACATAGTAATCCAACAGAGAGCTCGTAGACCATATGTTTGGGGTGACATAAAGCATCCCTGCCTCTTGATGTTTGCGTGGATCAGACAGTCATCTTTCATCTTCGCACCCATGAATTAGCCTCTCTGCATCACATGACTTGTATTGAAGGTCCTCATGCATAATTCTTCCAATAGAGTGCCTTGAAACGTTGAGCTCCTTAGAAATGATGTTAATTGACATTCTGAGGTTCTTATTGATAATTTTCTGCACCTTTTGTACAAATTTAGTTGTTCTGATGATTTTAGGAACCTTAGCAAGTATTTTATGTTTTGCTACTGCTGCAGAAGCTTTGAGTTCTTTGTGAAATTTGACAACAAACAATTTTAAATCACTAAGGTAACAATTACAGCATGCCTTTTCATTTGCTGTGTTAGCTTGATGTTTGTCATCATTTATCTGAAAGGAAACAATAATCAGAAAATGTTAAAGAAAAAAAATTAGAGCTATTAAAAGACATATCTTCAAAAGAACTGAGCAACCCTGTAAATGTTATTAGGTAGCTGTCTGAAGTTTTTTTTTTTAACTTCATTTAATCTGTTATCTCCATGATGGGTTTTATAAACATTGAGTATCTCTGTTTGATCTTAGCATAAATGCTTTATTGTAAATTCTTGATGTGCACTCCAGGTGGCATAGCGATCTGCAATACTCAATGCTTTCCTTCACGGATGCCTAATAAAAAAAAACAAAAAAACTTCTGTTTGTGCATCACTTGATCTTTTTCTAGTTTGGAACTATTTATATCCACCTTTATAATGAATCATAAAAATTGAGGTTGGGGTATTGCTGAAGGACTTTGTTCTAACCATATATATATATATATATATATATATATATATATATATACTAGCAGCATGGCCCAGCGTTGCCCGTTCTTGATTCAAAAAATTGTACGACTCATACAACAATCGCGATCACTTGACTTAAAATATTTTTGCCCTTCCTTGCCTTTAAAGGAGTGCCCTTTGCTGTGCTGATGTTGCTACATGCCTTACTTCTTGCTTATCTCACACTGCGAATGTTTGAGCTCAGGTCAGCTTTGCGCAGAGTTGGAATGACCAAAGAAAGGTTGTATATAGTTTATTATTGGAGGTTTTAAGCATGGTTATAATGGTCGAGCTCAAGTCAGCCTTGGAATGACCAAAGAAAAGGTTGATTTACACCATAGGTGGAGATTCTGGAAGATACCTGTGAACACCATGCATTGGAAAGTGAAAAGAGAGTTAAATTGTCAGTGGACCAGGGGAATGAATATGCTCCAGAGGGATCCTATCCTTTTCCACATTCTGCTATGTCTTGGAGTGAAGAAGGGAAATTTTTATCTTTTTATAGACTTAACCAGTGCCAACTAATGGCGTTTGACAAAGCCAAGTTGGGTAATCATATTTCCAGTTCCTTTACTTTTAGCATCATGGGAAAATGTATTTCTTTTTTTCTATTATTACTATTATTTTATAAATCAATTTTATTTCATTTTTAATTTTCCTGGATAATCTGCACATTGTATATTAAAAATAAAACATGAAGTTCATTGTTTTTAGAAAAGAAAAAAGTATTGGTAAAAATGTCAAGTTTAAAACAAGCAATTTTATATAGGACAAACTGATGACTGGCATATTTTATATTTTAATCACCGACATATTTTTAATTTTAATTACTGATGTATTTTTAATTTCATATAGGACAATCTGATGACTGGAATATTTTACATTTTAATTGCTGATGTATTTTTAATTTTAATTACTGGTGTATTTTTAATTTTATATAGGAAACTCTGATGACTGATATATCTTATATTTTAATTACTGATGGATTACCTAACATATACAACCTCAGTTAGTGATCATTATAAACACACCAAAAATATGGGATTGGAATAATGTTCTCTTAATTTTATCTAAATGTAATCTTTTCATGTTCATGTCAACATTTTTTTTTAATTTTGTGGGGTATGTTCAAATAGCCAACATATACATGTGTATGTACATTATTTTCTTGTCTAATTTTTTTTTTTAGATTACCAGCTCGAATGGAAAAGACACCTCCAAGAGATCAGCTTGGAACGTAAGTTAGAGATAGAGAGATTCCCCTTCCTCTAACAAGTCATAGGTTCAACTTCCAAGCCTAAGAATGTGGCATTATTTTTAATTCACATCTCCAAAAACAATTTTAATTTTTTTTTTTTTTTTATAGAATGTAGAAAATAAATACAAAAATAAATTATATGGGGAAATATTAATTACTATAGTAGAAACTAATTTTGAAATTACCTAAATACCATCCAAAAGTAAGCTTTGTACATAATAACAAAATTATATTTCTTCTTCTAATAATGATATCAACAAACTTGCTTCCTTTATTACAAAGAGTTTTATGTAGGGTTTTTATTCCTGATGTATTTGTTCTATTTTTATTTATTTTTTCCAGTTTTCAAAAGTCTTTTAAATTTTGGAGATATGAAAAAATAATTTTTCAATTATAAACAACCTTTAAATTCAATTCCAACTCCAAACAGTAACACTTTACCCCTCCTTTTCCTTGTCAAGGCATTAGGAATACTGTTTTACTCTTTTTCTGCCATTGCCTGTTCTGAATTCTAAGAATTTAGTTTCTACTTTGAAATCAGAATATTGTAAATACAGGAAACTTTCTCTCTAGCTTGGTTAGCCATTTTCTATTTCAAGTGATTTTTTTTCTTCAAATATTTAAAAATAAAAAAAAAAACATTCTGTCTTCTGGTTAAATGAGATAAAAAAAATTAAAAAAAAAAAACCCAAAAGAAGACATTGCCAACAGCACTTCTAATATCAAAATCACAAAATTTATAATCCCAACCCTCCAACACTCTATTTACAAAATTTGAAAATAAATTAGTTATCCTCCAATACTAGGATCTTTATCACCACCTCAAGACAATCAGAGATATATTCAGGAAGAAAAATAGACCCAACACCATTTCAGATGCCAGGATTTATCAAATAAATTGCTCAAAATGTGAAAACACTTACATTGGTGAGATCTCAAAATCTAAAAGCTCATATCTATGAACATAAAAGGGATATATGTTAGAAGAACTCTTTAAACTCACTCATAATACACAGGAACAAAACTAGTCATGTTTGATTTTATAAATGCCACCCTAATTAAAATGGAAGATAATTCTTTACGTAAGAAATACCTCAAAGGGATTCTGATAAATCTCTTACCATCTATAAACACACATCAAACACACTACATTACATCAACTTTTATAAAATCCATACTTATGAATTATGTGTTGTTGATGTTAGAAGTGCTATTGGTGGTGCCTAGTTTTTTGATCTGCAAATCCAAAAAACTCGAAGGTGGCTGTAGAATGACACACCCAAAAGAAGTATAGATGTCCTGCTGGAATTACAGAAAGCTGTTAGAATTGTTGTGATGCTTATTTGCATGTAAATCGACATAGCATTTACTTATATTTCCTTTTGAATTTTATTTAAAGTTGCCAATTGTTAACTATTTCCTCTCAGAAGATTATCTACAATCGTTATTATCACTATTTTCATCTCTTGATAAAATCCAAAGAATCAGCAATGTTATTGGTCCTGACCTGACATTATTTACCAACTTCCATAATGTAGTTTCCTTGTATTTTTTTCTATAAATACTTTCATGGTAATTGTTCTGATGATCTCTCCTCTTTGTTACAGTCTTGACCTGGCATCTCGGCTTCAGTCACTTTCCCATCACCATAACGTAGCTTCTCTGTGCCTTTTCTATAAATATTTTTCATGGTAATTGTTCTGATGATCTTTCCTCTAATAGGGTAGTTTAGGTTTGTTTTCTTCCCTAGTTTCTTCCATCAAGTTAACTTAGCTAGGGGATGTATGCTCATTGGTCTCTTTTATTTTTGCCCCCACTTTCCTTTGATTAATTCCCCCTCCCCTACCATGTTAAGTGACAGAGATGTCAGTTCTCTGGTAGATGCACGACCTTTTTCATTTTTCAAGTGTGTATTTTGTATTTGTTTTTGTGTTTGATAGTTATTAATTACCAAGTCTCAAAATAAATTTTGTCCAGTTAAGTGATTTTTCTGTCACAATTAAGTTTTGGGAGGAATTATTAACATTATTTTCTTTAGTTTCTTGTATATAAATTATAAATATTCTTTGGAGTTTCTTTTTTAAATGTTGTTATTCCCCACCCCCTGGCAAATTGTACCTATGGGAATAAGTTAGAATAACATGGAGACTTTGAGGTATTATGGTGGCTGTAGTAAAAATGATAAGTAAGAATGTATTGTTTTGGTATAAGGAATACTGTGGTATGTTTGGGTCAGTAATCATGGCTAGCTAATTTTAAGATCAGACAGATTGAAGACCAGCCTTCCCCTATCCCACCTTGTGCCACATTTTTGTATTATATCAAAATAAATATTACTTTCCTCAATAGACTTTATGAATTTAAGCACATTACTAGATTTGCAGTAAGGTCTCATCTTTTTTACAGTTGAAATAGCTAGATGTAACTGTATGTTCTATGCTAGCAGTTTCTTATATTACACTTCTCACTTGTGGAAATCTTTTCCGGCTTGTTACTTCCCAATCAACTTTGATGTTTTAAAATCTAAATGCAATGTCAATCATTATTTTGTCTTCTTAATTCTTGTTCTTTTATTGTTCTCTCTCCTTAATAGTGTTTTTTTCTCATATTCTCTAACACTCAGTAACCCCTTGCATCTTAGTGGCTTTATTGCCTTGCTTGGGGTGAAAAGATTTTTAAAAATGTGCATGCTCTGTTGAAAAAGCATTAATGTTGTTTTAGTAATTGTTGTTTTTAGCTTTCTTTTTTTAGTGTCAAACTTGCTTTATTAAAAAAAAGTTGTTTGTTTTAGCTTAATCTTTTGCTCAAATTAATAAGACATTTTTGTCTACTAATTTGTTGGGTTTCTTAAGCTCAAAAATTTAAAACTAATTCAAATGTGCTTTGTAATGTTGAGTAAATCTAGAAATTAAATTATCACACAAATAGAGAAAAATTACTAATCAATATAGCAGTAAATTTTAAACAAAAAAAAAATTGGTACCATGTTCACTCCAGACCACAAGTGGAGCTTGCATTACTAAAAATGGTGGAAAAATGGTTGAAAAATGGTTGGCTCAATGCTATCACTCTAGGAAATATTATTTTCCACTCTGCAGGCTCTTTCCCACAGATACGATATCACAAGTGGCCGATTTAGAAAGAAAACTACACAACCTCCTAGACAGGGTGGTAGAAGAAAGCAAGAAAATGGACTATCAATTGCAAGAAGATAGAAAGTATAGTCATTAGCAAGAGAAAATGCCTAAGATGCAAATTATGAATTATAGATATAAACATGAAGCAGGTGCAGAAGTTTAAATATCTGGGAAGCATTTTAATAAAGGATTGCAAATGCAACACCAAGATCTGAACATGCATTTGACTAGTAAAAGAAACATTCCAAAAGGTGCTGAGAAATGGAAAAATTTTGTTAGAAACAAAGAAAAGAGTGATTAATTTTTTTAAATCAATTTACCACATGCAAGGCAATAATGCCACTAAGATGCTAGGGGCTACTGGGAGAGAATGAGAAAACTTTAGAAGGAACCAGAAACCCAATGTTAAAAAGGAAATGAGGAATAAACCACTACTCTTGTTCCAGGAGATATCTATATCTGATATCCATCTTCCTATATGGCAGTGAATGTTGGACATTCCCCCACCACAGATGCAGAAAAAAACTAGAAGCAGCAGAAATTTCCTTCTATAGAAGGATACTTATAATTCCAAAGATGGAGCGATTAAGCAACAGGAAAGTCTTAAAGAAAATGGCAATAGAAAGAACACTTATACTAAGAATCAGGAAGTGAAAGTTGAAATTTCTTGGACACATAATAAGGAAGGAGGGCTTGGAAAACTTAACTCACACAGGGTATATTAAGGGCAAGAGAGATAAGGAAAGGTAGCAAGCCAATTACTTGATGAGCTTGTGTGTATAGATGACAGAATGGGGTGGGAGACTTAGTAAAAGGAAAAACTGCTAGAAGCCACATAAGATAGGCGATCATGACTCTCCATAACTTCCTATGTCTTGAAGGGATGTGGCACATAGAAGAAGAAGATTGCTACTCTATTGCTATTTTCATACTAAATGTTCATATGGTTTCCATTATTTGCTTCTACCACTTCAGACCTTTACAGCTCAGACATACCATGTTACCTCCACGGAGTCAAATCACCCTCATTTCTCCTGTATTCTAATTGTAAGGAGAAAGTTCCATTCTGATAGCTTTTTCCTCAAGCACTACTACTTTGTGGAACAAACTCCCAAGAGGATACTTCCCTGAACACTACAATCTTAACCTCAACAAGTCAAATGTCAATCCTCATAATCTTCACTTCCTACCCCCTCCACTTTCATTCATATCATACATCATGACCATTTTAATAGTAAGCCTCTACATTGAGTGACTATCGAGCCTTGTATTTGGGGAAATTTAGTATATTAAAAAAAATAAAGAAATTGGTATCAAGAACATAAAAATATTTCCAGAAAGGAGGGACTTATGGCCATATCACATTGAAACACTGGTTCTCATCTGATCACTGAAGTTAAGCAACATCAAACCTGGTCAGTACTTAGATAGGTGACTATTTAGGAATACCAGGTGGTGTAAAGCATAACAGATTGGAATTGTAAATCTGAGAACCAAGTTCCAATTCCAGTCAGAAATTTGTTATATTTACTTATGCACAAATACCATTTGGAAAGGTATGAATCAACTTCGTCTCCCCCAGCTATGGGTTAATTAATATCAGTAAATCATTATGTCCAAAAAATTTTTACAATCCAAAAATATTTTCTGGCTTTAAATAACTTGCAAAGGGTTAAGGTAACTGTAAATAACAAATCAATCAATCCAGAAAAAAGGTGGGAGGAGTTGACCTTTTTTATAAGTTTGGTGATAAGTGGTGTATAAAAATGGTAACACCATGTCAGCCATTATATGACAATAGATTTCTGGAATGCTGGGTATAAATATAACTGAGCCAGAGAGGATACAGACACACATTTCTTTAACCTTAAGCTTTACTAGGCCATGAAAAAATTTGTTTAATATGGTATGTATATGGGGAGGGGGCTGAAAAATCCCTAGCTTGATTCACTTCCCCATAATAGTATTTCAGTAACCAAACAGGATACCGATCTTTGAAAAGTAGGTTACGGTAAGAACATTTCAGCAACTTCATATATATATATATATATATATATATATATATATATATATATTATTTAAACATTATTTTTAGAGATACTTCTATCTGTGTAGACACTCCATTTATTATATTGATTTTATTTATATTTATTTATTTTAATTTATGTGAAAATATGTGCTATCCACTAAAAATAACATTTATGTAATAAAAATATGTCAGTTTAATAAATAAAAAATCCATTCCTTTCTTTACAAATACATACATACTTATATATATATATATATATATATATATATATAAATAAGTTGGAGTTTCATGAAAGAATGGAATGTGACTTCAGTGCTGAATAAACACACAAGACTGATTGGTTGTTTAGTCTTAGAAGAAATTTTCAAAGCCTTTTAAGCCGTGCTGTGTCTCTTCAAAGTTGATAAAAGGCTATCTGATCAATGTAGTAGGTTATCCAAATACCAAAGTCATAGGAATTAGTTTAAAAATAAATAGAAAAAAAAAACAGTAAGACTGATGAAATATCGTTTCAAACAAGTTTAACTTGAAAGACACCATAATTATTTGATCATAGTGTGCTGGTTCCTTTTGGGGAAAATAATAAATTACCATTTACTGGAAATAAATGACTATAAAAGATGCTGACAGCAATTTTTCGTAGGTGCCATCATTTTGGTATCGATCAGGTACTCTGCAGTACAATTCAAGCTAAATAATACTCTTAACACATAATATATCACAAAACAGGTCTTATTGTATGCAACTATGTCTATGCTGGTTTGGAAATAGCACTAAGCATGAGTTAGTTTATAACAAACATGAGGGACCGACATTTCATAGTATCTTGAAAATGTATATATACATCAACAGCAGGTGATGTAAGTTTTGCAAAGATCTTTAAACATGCCCACAGCAGCGGAAGTGTTAAACTTAATTCTCTCTCTCTCTCTCTCTTTCTCTCTGTACTTTGGATGTTTTATAATATTTCAGTTCTTATTGCATGATGGATATGATTTGTATATTCTGTGTTGCAATAGTAGAAATGTAATGAAATGTTTTTTGTGGTGCGCAAGACTTCTTTTGTCTATAGAAACATGTGTGACATATTGTAAATACACACATGAAGTTTAGTGATTTGATATCTTTTCTTTTGTTTTTTTATCACTCCAGGCCTTTTCATGACATGTGATATTGTCTTAATATGAAATAAGTGACTATATTATATGATCTGTAGCATGTTTATTGCATGATTACTAACAATTTATATATACCGTATATACTCACAGATATGTCACCCCACTGGATAGGACACACCCCTACTTTATGGCTTAATAATTGATGATTTACTGTTGACTCGCATATAGGTCGCACTATAATCTGGGGTGTTAGCCCTTTTTAAACGTAAGAATTATCAGATATTTACCTTCATTTCAAAACTTACAATTATTGATACACTTTTGCAGTTAAAATATATTTCATGAATTATCATGTAGACAAAAGGAAATAACTGTTGTACCAGTATTTTTATATTTACTGCATATTATTTTTATATTGAGTCAACTCAACAAAAAAAGTATTATTTCTATACAGAGAAAGACCACAGCTTTAGTATTTATGGCTATCATTTCCAATTTCTCAGAAATCATGATGACAAGGTAGTATTGTTTTACATTTATATCGAGTAGATAGATTGCACTCCTAATATTTTGTGAAATTTTTGGTAAAAAAAGTGCAACCTATCCGCGAGTATATACGGTAGTAATCCTTTATTGTTTTCTATATTTGATTATTAAAAAGATTTTTTTATATTTCTTTCCTTTGAAAAATATGTGCAATATTGCATTTTAATGCTTGCTTTGACTTTGATTATCAATGTATTTTTGTTTCTTTGAATACAGGTACTGAATTCTTTCAAAACATTTTTCATAAACCTAATTTGAAGTAAATCTATTTGAGTTGTCTAAAAAGCAGATAGCTATAGAAGCATATTTTATTCCTATTAACAAGAATGTTAAAACAAGATTACACAGTTATCATTTCTTCAAATTTTATACAATATTTATGTGAATGACTATAGCTATAGTTTATATAATATAGCTTATAGCTATATATATATATGAATATATTTGAGTTGTCTAAAAACAGATAACCATAGAAGTATATTTTGTTCCTATTAACCAGAAAGCTAAAACAAGATTACTTGAAGTTATCATTTCTTCAAATTTATTTCTGTCCTGTCAGTGGGGCCTAGAATACACCAACTGCATCACCTGCCGAGGGTTAAGGCTCCCACTCCCAGCAAATAGGTCACCTATTCAGTAAAAAAATCAACAAGACCAAATAGGTTCAATTATTGCCCAGTTTACACTCCTCCCTCGTCTTTTGAACAGGAATAGATGTTCATCTCGTTTCCTTCTTAAGATCGGGTTTCTGGTTCTTTCCTTTAAAGTCTTCTTCTCTTTCACTTATTAGTGGCATTAACGCTTTGCTTGGGGTAAAATGATTAAAAGAAAAAATTCTTCTCCTATCAAAGTTAATGCTTATAGACTCAAGTAAAACAAAATTTTAAAAAAGACTGATTTTGACATTAAATAACCCAACAAGGGTTGACAAGTCAAAAATTAAACCAAAGCAAATTTATTTTAATATCTAATGTAAATTTTTTTCTTGACCAATATCACATTCTATACTTTTAAAATTTACCACATCTATATTGGAATATTAACTCTTAAGATTTATTTCCCTTGAACTCTTCTCTAATGTTACTGTTAGCCTGGATTGATTAACTATTGTATCTTTTTTCATTCACTCACTATAATTATTACAACATTAAAAATTTTAAAACCTTTTGATATATCAACCAGGTATTTCACACTGTTGTGTATCCTCAAAAACTGATGAATTAGAAAAATTATTTTATTATTATTTTTCATGGTTGTTCAAAATCATAAACTTAATACCAAAAAAAAAAAAACTTAATTTTCTAAGTGATACCAAACTGATATTTTTGAAAAAATGGCATTTTCATTCATATTATTATTCAAATACCTTATATTTATCTTTGTAAAGCAAAAATTCCTCTTCTCAGGGACAATGTATTGTACTGGATTTAGAGAAGAATTATTATTTATTAGAAAATTTATATTTTCTTGAAAAAATACTTTTATACTTTATAACAAAATCAGAAGATCGATATTTTTGCATAAAAATTAAAAAATTATTAATGTCTTATAAAATTAGAAATACTATTTTCTTTATGATAAACTTATGGGCAATATTTAACCATTGTGCCCACATAAAAATGGTGTGTCAAAAGGACAGTTATTCCCTTGACACTGCTATTATTTTAACTATTTTCACTCCTCAGCAATTGTTTTAAAAAGTCATTCTTAGAATTTTGATAAAACTTAAGCATATGAAAGCGAATTTATACATTTTCTTTGTTCTTGAGAATTTACAGCAAAATTAATAAACACTGGCAAAGCATCAGCTAATTACCAATCAAATTGAACTTTATAAAATTGTAAATAAGGATTTCATTATAGTTGGTTCACATAATAATTTAGTAATGTTTATAAATTTATAAATAAAAAAATAATTTTCATATTTATTTCTTCATAAATTGGTAAATGATAAATGTTGCATTGCATTAGTTTTAATACAATTGTATTAGTTTTTAGAATGTTGTAAATATAAATTTACTCTTGCAAATAAACAATCTAATAAATAGTGTTTATTATTATTGTTGTTAATTCTCAATAAAATTTTTAAAAAAAAATTGCATAAATTCATATGTTTAGGTTTTATTACAATTCTAATCATTGCATTTTGAAACAATAAACTTTGCCGGGAAGTGAAGGTGGTTAAAATAATAATAGTGTCACAAGAAAAACTGTCCTTTTGACACTCTGTTATTTTGTGGGTTCAAAGGTTAAAGATTGCCAATTTATGAATAATACGGAGACATTTATTAAAGTTATATGCACACATGCAATTTCATTTTCACTCCTATACAACTTCCACACTGTCTGAAATATTATCCCTTTAAGCCCTGCGTTCCTGAACAGTTTTAACCTCCCAAGTCAAAATTCACAAATAATTGGTATGTAATGTTTCACGGTAGATATAAAAATAATTACAAGTATTTATCCACCATTCAACTTGTAGCTGAGAATTAAGTAATTTTTCTCTGCCATTGTTCAACTGGTGGCTGGGCATTTTGTCATTTTTGTCTCCCACCAGTAAAGCAGTGGTCAGGTCTTAAAGAGTTAATGTTGCAAATTGCAACAGACATATGTTTTGGTAAGCTTTTGTTATTATTCAGTAACTAATAAATAAGTGAATGAATAAATAATTTTTGTTGATTCCTGCAAATAGATTTCTTGCTTTGCCTCCATATCAATTTCTCTTATCCTTATAGCTTTTTTGTTTTCATTTTTATTATCTCAA